CTCCCCCTGCCGACTCCCATGGGCTAGCGCCTAGCGCCAAGAGCTTCGAATACTTTCAGTAAAATAGATAAACCTTTGGTATGCTCTTTTTGTTACTTACCTCTCAGCAGCATTCTGTGGAAAGATCTCCTCCTGGAAGGCTCGGGGGGGGCGGGGGGCTCTGCTGAGCCTTTCAAGAGCAGAAGACGTTGTGTACAAAAGTGCCTGAGAAGCAGCCAACATGAACAACAACGGCTGGCACCAGGAAAGGGTCACAGATGCTTGTCTGAACATGCGGTTGTGCAGCATCTCCGCGCAGTGCAGGCTCCAGCTGCTGCTGTACTAAAGACACGACCGCCATCTGCTGTCACAAGCCCGACCTGAACCAGGGAGCGCGATTAAGGAGCAGGAGGCCCGCAGGAGGCCTCACCTCCCCCTGCCCACCCGCGACTCCCATGGGCTAGCGCCTTAACTTCTCAACGCCAACTTTGTCATTTCTAGCGTCGCTCTCAATTCTTATCGCCTATTTATTTCTTTGCTCCCAGGTAGAAAGAACAAACTCCTGTTGCCGGTGATACACGCTGGCGTGCAGATGAGCAGCCGGCTGTGACACCGCCTTCTGGGGATGCCGCCCGCCATGTGAGATGGGGATGGAGAGGGACTCCTAGTCAAAGTAACTATACAGCTGGCACGTATGCATATATCTCTGTATGTACATGTGTGCGCTCACAGCTGCTCAGTAGTGCGAACTATTGCTTTCTATGCACCTGAAATACCATTTCTCAGAGTTTATATTCCATGCAAATACTTGGTCTCTTAGTTGGAAGCTCGGATGAAATGCAGACGGGGGGGTTGGTTCAGAGTAGTTTCTAGGGCAGAGAGCTTGCCAGCACTGAATGATGGATCTACTGGAAATGGCTCGCCGAATTGGGGCAGTTGGCTCTCAGTCCAGGTTTTCTTATCCAGGTTGCTCTCCACAGAGGCTCATGTTTCTCCAGCAATCCAAATCAGTCTAATCCCATCATGGAGGAAAGCCCTTATTGCTTATTGCCAGTCCGTCTTACATGTGTTGTTTAATTTTTATAATATTTGGGCACTATGGCTGCTGTTCAATGTTTAAATGCTGCTTTTTCACATTTACTGTGATGGTGGGTTTTTTCATTGCCTTCTTTTCAGCAACTTTGGAAAGGAGGTTATTCTTATAAAACAATCCTTTCTTTGCATCTTATTTTCATAATTCTTATTAATATATTGCTTGCTTAAATAGTTCGACCTACTGTCTATATATCCTTGTACCACATATTATAGAGGGTTTTTTTTTGTCTATTTCCCATATACTTATCTTTTTGGATTTTTGACATGTTTAAGCAACAGGCACTTTCAAGATACTTTAGCTAACTAAACTATTGACTAAGCTGAACAGCTAAATTAAATATAAGTATTTTCTTTTTTTCCATTCTTAATCTTCTTTCTTCTCTGGTTAAGAGAACACTTTGCAAATGCAGCTATTCCACCAGCTGGTGTTATTCAGGATCATTATCCTCACTTTCTGGCAGACTTACTTTTTGTTCATGTTGTGTTTTTTTCTCATGAAGATGTTCATATTTTCATCACCTGATAGGTGATCCACAGGGCCCAGTTCTTCATCCTTGTAATACAGTTCACCCATTGACTTTAGGGTGCACTGAATACTCACAGGCAGTCACAGAGTACTACATGGCCAACTGCTTGGTGGGGTGCAAATGTATTTGTTTGCCCTTAACTCTGGACCAGAAAGTTTCATAGCCTTTGTTTAAAGCATGAAGCTGAAAATTGTCCTGAAAAATCCAAGGCAGTTACTTGAAATCACTTTTAAAGACTAGGGAAGTTTATTTCTTAGCATCTTAAGTTTGTTTCTGTCCCCAGTGTACAGCAATGTAAAAGTGGTATTTTGTGATTGCTCTGGGTTTGAAATATGTGCATTTTAGATGACATAATTTTAGATCACGTACAGAGGAATTCACATTCTCTGAATTTAGTTTATCTAGCTTGCATTCCTATGTTAGGAAGCTGTACCCCTTCGGTTACCAGCTGAGCCATTAAACGACGAGCTGCTCGAGTTAAACCTCTCCCTCCGTTGACACATTTAAGTACCTAGAAAAATTAGTATCAGTGAGACTACTTTGTCTAGAATAAATCATGTCAAACAAGCTCATTTCCAGCTCTGATTAGGTAACTGCTCCTGTGTATAGCAGAAAAGCCACAGATGCCAGATATCTTGGTTTTAGAAAGACTTCTAGCACTGTCTCACATGACCATCTGTCTCAAGCAAGTCACAGAAAACCACAAACGGATGAGTACACAACTGGGTGTAAACTGGACCCAGAGAATATTTAGCAAGAGTACGTTGTTAACTTGGCTGGATGCATCAAACAATTCTGCAGGAGTATCTCCATAGCACCAATTTGATATTTTCATTAAATAATTTGGATGGCAGAACAGACAACTTGCTTACCAAACTCACTGGCTGGGAGGGGCAGGAAGTGTTGGAGGATAGGGCTAGGATCTCAATGAACTTGGCAAATTACAGTCAGGGGAAGGAAAGTGATTGAAAGGACATGCTTTCACTCTGCAGAATTACCAACATCACAAATGCAGGTTGTGGAATTACTGGTCTGATAGCATCACTGTATAAACAGACTTGGTGGTTAGTACGGATCACAAACCAAACAGGAGTCAGCCACACCACTACAAAAAAGGCAAATAGCACCAGGGGCTATATAAAAAGGAATCTTGTTTGACAGGCAAATGAAGCTATTCTTCTGCTATGCTTGGGGCTAGTAAACCTTCAGCTGGAGTATTGTATTCTGCTTTGGCTAGAATAGAGAATTAGAGGTTTTATGAGGAAACATTGGAGGAATTGGAGTGGTTTGTCCTAGAGAAACGGGAGACCCGGTAGGGGGGGCCTAAATATGTGCACTGTGTTTCTAAGGGAGAGGGCAATAAACTCATCTCATCTGCTGAAAAGGCTCAGTGGGCAACAGAGATGTTAGAAATGGCTTTCTCATGGTGCAGATAAAAAAAAACAGCAAGAGAGATTACTATGGGGTATGACAGCATTGGTTTTCGAGTTTTCAGGCACAGATTGGACACGTATCTATCAGAAATTACCTAAATATAATTGATCCTGCTTTTTGGGCAGGAGGAAGGAGACAATTCCCATCCCTGTTTTTCTAATATTCCAGTTTGGAGCCAAAGGTCATAATTTAGACACCTAAGTTAGATGTCTAAATTATACGTTGTCAATACCAGCTAATTATCATCCTGCGACTCTTGCTTTCCATTTCTGTTTAATATATCATTAGGAAAAAAATATTGGTTAATAATTCAAATCAGAAGCAGCTATAAAGTAGGCTGGTACCACGCTATGCAAACTTGATTTGTTCAAACCTGTGTTTTCCAAGTCCTAGGCTTCTTTTGAGCACATACTGCCAGCTCTGCTAATGTCTAAACAGCTTATGATCTAGAGACCTGTCTGTTGGGTATTAGGATGATCCAGTTCATTAATAAAGGCCATATTGGAACACCCATTTAACTTACTGCAGAAAGGATGCTGGATGAAAAGGGGAAAGGAAAACTCACACAAATATGACTCATTCAGAAAATGCTAAAGCTCAGGCTCTGAACAGCCTTTGATATTTGACCTCTGCAGATGGCCTGTAATTAAGACTCTAATCCTTTAAACACTCAAACACACTTAACTTAAAGTTAATAGGATTAGTCACATGCCTGAAGCGTGCATGGCTGGAGCAAAAATCTGTTGTTGAGTACAGCTGATTAAAAACTTGCAACGAAGACACTTTCTGGTGGAATATCGTCTTACATTTTCTAAGTCTTTTCTAAACAGTTCTAGTCCCAAGTAATTTCCTAATGTGAAGATATTTAATAAAAATAAAACTTAACCAAGTTCTTGCTTAATGTGCTGGTTTTGGCTGGGATAATTTTCTCTATAGTAGCTAGTATGGGGCTGTTTTGGATTTGTGCTGGAAACAGTGTTGATAATACAGGGATGTTTTAGTCACTGCTGAGCAGTGCTGACACAGAGTCAAGGCCTTTTCTGCTTCTCACACCACCCCACCAGCGAGTAGGCTGGGGGTGCTCAAGAAGCTGGGAGGCGACACGGCTGGGACAGCTGACCCCAAATGACCAAAGGGATATTCCGTACCATATGACATCATGCTCAGCATATAAACCAGGGAAAAGCTGGCCAGGGGACCGCTGCTCGGGGACAGGCTGGGCATCGGTCGGAGG